TAAATTGTATGTCTCTTTTATGCTTATATATTCTTTTCTTTGCATCTTGGTGTGTTTTGATAATTTATTTTTAGTACAGTTGTTTACATTCTATATGGTAGATTGGAGGTTTTGATGTAAATTTAACTGTTTTATATTTCATTATTTTTTTTTTAACTGTTTTTGAAATGTTTTTGAGAGGCACAATTTTTCTTCAGTAGGACTTCTCAATCTAGACTGGTTGTTATTTATTTCACTATTTAAGAAAACAAAAAACAGGGATAGCAACTCAAACATGTGTACCCACTAAAAATATCATCATCTATAGCAGTGTTTCTCAACCTGTGCTCCCAGGCACACTAATGCACCTTGAAAGGTAGCCAAGTACACCCAAGTTAACAGAAGAGTAATTTATTATTTTTATATCTAAAAAAAAATCTTTATTTTTAAAAAGCTAGAGACACCAAGCACATGGTTCCATGTCTAAGTCAAGTCTTTGTCATTTGATATTTTAAACTGGCTGCTAAAGTCCTTAATCTTTAATAAGGAGTGGATAATCCTTTCTCTTTTACCTTTCTCAATGGATTTAAATCAGTCATTATTGGTTTCTCCAAAAAGAAAATGGTAGATTCTTCATAAATCAATTTAAATGAAAATATTAGTGCTTAAATATACTATGTAATGTCTTAAAAACAAATGCTTATTTTAGGAAACTTCTTTATTATTTTCAAATTTTATGACTTGCTTTTCCTTATTAAAATTTAAAGTTCACCCCCAGTGATTTTTTTATTCTACAAGTGGGCCCTGAAGCAAAAATGGTTGAGAAACACTGATCTATAGTTATAAGAAATACTGTCAATGTTATATTACCTAGTAATCTTCCTTTATATAAACTCTTGTGTAAGGAACATTAACTTTCTTAGTTCAATATACTAACCCCCTCTTCAATTTTATTTTATTTTTTTTTTATGAATTCTGTTACATGGAGTCAATCTTCATCTGATTCTCTGTTAATCCTTCACTTCTGACACCATGTTTTAGTTTTCTGCTTGGGTTCAGTGTAGAGATGAGACAAAGATGACGAGTGTATGTACACACATCTTTATTGCTATAAGAGTGACATAGAAAAATGAAGAGAGCTTAGTATATTGAACTAACTTGATAAATGTATGAATCTATCTCTTTGGGTTCGATTTTCAGTCAGGATTCATAACTTTCACCTATGCACAATTACTCTAGGAAAGGTATGAATGCACCTATTCTCCCGGCAGCTATGGGTTGAATAGTAGAACAGACTGGGTCCTATAACCTTGGGTGGCAACAAGTCTACCACAGAAAAAAAATGGCAGCTTACTACGGGAAAATCTTCTGCCTAGTCAGTCATGAATTGAAAGAAAAATGATCACACAAGCATTTATAGCACTGAACAGACTGATTTTAATGGAGAGTTTTAAAAATATTTTTAATATATGATTTTATGAGGTAATGTTTTAGAAAATTGAAATATTTGTCAAATGATATTTTTCACTTTTTCATTAGCTTCAATTTATTACACTATAGTGTTTCTCTGGAAACAGATATGACTCAGGATGGAAGAAAAAAAAAATGATCTTTGGGGGAAAAAAGTGTCGGAGGAACAAATTTTAGCTATAAAATCTTATCACCTTGAATTTTCTTCTGATTTACCTGAACCACATTGCCTGTCTCCACTGTGAAATAATAATAAATTATTAAATTATAATATAAATTATATTAGCATTCAAGCTTTACAGCAAGTTGGTGTTGAGAGCACTAGGAGTCCTACCAAGATTTATTATCATAACAACATAAGGGATGCAGAGAAAGCAGTAAAGGAAAGCAAGAAGAAAAGACTAAATATCAATTGTAAGAAAAGACAGAATGTATGGTTGTCAGCAAAAGGAACAATCCAAGATGCTAATTACAAATTGGAGATGCCAAAATCAAGCAAGTATGAAAATTTACATATTTGCAAAGTGTTTTAATAGAGAATAAAAATATGCTACCAAAATCTAAAGGTGCATTGGAATAGCAAAAGTTGCTTTTCAAAAGCTAAACAAAGTATTAAGAAACAGGAAAATGTCATTAGGCTTTCTGTTGGTTTTATCAATACTTTAGGTTTTGTATATATATATATATATATATATATATATATATATATATATAAAATATGGAAAAACAAAAATCCGAATATACAAGATGCTGTTTTAATGTTGTTTCAATGTCGGCGTCAGACGTTTCAATCTAGTAGACCTTCTTCAGGACATAGTTATTATTGTTTTAATAACTATGTCCTGAAGAAGGTCTACTAGACCGAAACGTCTGATGTCGACATTGAAACAACATTAAAACAGCATACTTGCATATTTGGATTTTTGTTTTTCCATATTTTTCTTCATACTGTTGAATCTATAACCACATATTTGCTTACATATTTATTTATTTATATATATATATATATATATATATAGATTTCTGTAGTTTACTGCTACTAGCAAGCAGAAATATTTCTTCTCCCAATGATGGCCATTTTGGCTGAAAGTAGTCGAGGAATCTAAATGAAATAATAATAAAAAAAACGAAAGAATATTAATCTACAACCCAGTGTGTCTGAAGATTTTAATTTTTTAATATTTTTTTATTGTTCAAAATATATATATATATATATATATATATATGAATTGTATAATAGAGAAATCCAAAATTACCTCATAAGAATAGCTATTTCAATCAGGCGTTTCTATGTTGGCATTTTTCGACTCACATAGTGTGTAGATGTAAATGGTTGAAATAGCTATTCATATGAGGTAATTCTGGATTTCCCTATTATGTAACTTATATGCTCTGTTATAATAAAAACATTGAGCTCTTTTTGCAGATCATTTTAATATTTTATATTATTAGGATTCACTTGGATTATATACCAATGGATTATTACCTATATATATATATATATATATATATATATAAATTAATAATATAGAGGAAACAGTCTTTAGAAGGATGGAAATGTTGATGAAAAAATGAAAAATTTTAACAATCCACGTTTACAGTCAATTACAGTTTTCATTTAAAATAAAAGAAAATGAAAAAATATGAGATGAAATATTGAAGTTAATATTGAAAAGAGAGAAGGAGAAAGAAATGAAGGATAAAATGGAAAGGAAGGAAGACAGTGGGAAGTAAAAAAGAGAAAGTGATAAAGAAATATACATAAAGAGGAAAACAATGAAGAAATAAGATTGTAAAAAAAGCAATTAAAAGGAAGTAAAGAATATAAGAAGGAAGAGAGAAAGGTTGAAAATAGGAGAGAATATGTATTGGAATAGTGAAAGATGCCTTCTAAAATCAAAACAAAGTATTAAGAAACAGAAAGATTTCATTAGAAACAAAGAAAAGATTACTGAACTGTTATGCAATATCAGTTCTCCTACATGGCAGTAAATGCTGAACAATATCCTTAGAGATGAAGAGAAAACTGGGAATGACAGAAATGTAGTCCTACAGAAGGATGCTGAGAATACTATGAAAAGAACATGTAAGTAATGGTTTTTAAAAAAAAGGAAACAAAAATTACACTTATACTTAGAATCAGAAAGAGGGAATTGAAATTTTTACGACACATAATGAGGAAAGAGGGCTTGGAGAATTTGGCCCTCACAGGACATACTGAAGGCAAACGCGACTGAGTTATAGTGAGTAACCTATTTAACAAGCAAATGGATAACATAACAGAGACTAGAAAGGATGGAGAAAAGACAGCCCTTAGTAAAAGGATAAGAAGTTGTGGAGAGCTATGATCACCTACATTATGAAGGGACACAGCAGAAGGAGTATGATGAATTGTGATCCATTATTTTTTTTTTCTTTACTTTTGCTTTATCTTAATTTCAGTTGCTTTTCATTGCAATAAATCAGTTTGTCCTACTACAGGCATTAGTTCTGGTGTTAAGACATAATATGGAGCATTGGGGAGAGAAAAGTGACCTAGAATATTAATAAAAATAAGAGAGACTAAGAACAAAAGAAGACCAATAAGATGACATAAGTTCATATTTGCTAAGACATGCAGATATTCATTCTAAAATGAATCGGGTATTACACGTGTCTCAAAACATACGAGAGTATACCAAAAGTAAAGACCTGCAAAATGAAGTAACAAAAATGTAAAAACTTAAAACTATGATTATTCCTGTTGTGATTGAGTAGGATAAAGAATGGTATTGAAAATCATGTGAATAAAATTCCTGGACATGTCAGCATCTCAGAGCTACAAAAATTTACTTTGGATGGAACTGCATGTATCATCTGCAAAACACTCTTCGTCTAAATGAAACATCCCAAATGTGCATAGATAATTCACCTATAGTGGGCATTTTACTCATAAACCATGGATGGGACTTGGTAAGTAAACACTTAAAATTATTCTCTGGCAAAATAATATCACACATCATCATAATAATAATAATAAAATTAGCGCACATCAAAATTACTTCCATTTTTTTTAAAGACCTTTACTTCAAAGTCTAAACTTCTGGTTTATAATTTTCTTATCTTTTTCATGTAATACTTAATAATTTTTTTTGTTTTTTAAAGTTTCTTTTTTTTTTTTAATGACATCACTCCAATTTGTATAGAAATGGATAAAAATATACCATACTAATTGTGATAATTTCTTAACAATTATGAAGATTTTAACAATTTTCTGAAAAAACAAATACAGACAATACACTCTGTGTCAATGTTGTTATCAAGTGAAAAGTCTTGTAGGATTTGGAACTTAAGAATGGTGCGGGTGGGTTTGGAATGACAAGAAATGTTCATCAGCTCCTTAACAAATCAGTGATAAATTCTAATTAAAATCAGCCATGATGCCTTGAAGTGGTGATCTATTAAATAAATAAACAGTTAGATGAATTGGTTAGAAACACAAATAAACCTGTGATTGATAGATAACATTAACCACAAATACAAGAAAAAGATTTTTTAAAAATAGGTGGGGTTTAGGAATGGATGGAGAGGGGGTGGGAGTTTTTGATTAAAGAGAAAGAGAAAAAAGTGTAAATGGAAGCAAGGGTGGATTTAAGTAAAAAAAAATGTGAGATAAAGAAAAAAGAGATGGGAAGAGAGAGTAAAATGGAACAGTGGTTTGTAAAAAATGAAAGGCAAAAAGAAGGAAATGTTAAGAAAGTTGGAGGAAAGCAAGAGAAGGAGGAGATAAAGGAAAGAGGGAGAAGAAGCAGAAAAGGAGAGAAAGAGGAAAGAAAGAAAGAAAAAGAGGAAAAGGAAGTAACAAATTTAGTTAACAAATAATAAGGAAGAAAAAAAGAAAAGCAAAAATTTTTCAAAGGATACAGTATAAAGAATAGAAGCAGAAACAACAGAAAACATTTCAAAGAAAGAAAAAATTTGGTAATAAAAATATTAGAAAGAGAACAAGAATGAAAAACTGTTTGGAATGACTTTGAAGAAGTAAAAAAAAGCTCGGAATAATAAATACAAATGATAAGAGGAAAGGAAAAAAAATAAAAGACTGAAAAAAAAAATAGCTAAAAATAGTACAAGAAAATAAAAATAAAAGCTATCAATAAAATTGGCATTATCTCATTTTTCCTCCTTCAAAAGTGAAGATCAGTTTGCATCATTTTTTTATACTGATTTTCTTTTATAAACCTATGATTTCTAGTGAGAAAACTTTCTCAAGAAAAGTCTTTTCAATAAAATGTCATTCTTTTGCATGAAAACGTATCTATATATGACCAACTTTGTCCATTCAATCGTTTTTCTTTTTTCATTATTTTTTTATATTTACTTTTCATTGTTCTTATTTTTGTGATGATCATTTAGATGAGTTTAACTTTTTTAACACAAATCCAAATATTTTGGCCATTTATAGTACTTATCACATGTTTAGATTTCTTGGTTTATTGATATTTACTAAATTTATTATTAGACATATCTAAGTCTGCTTAGTTCTATTTATCTAACTTGTTGAAAAAAATTGCAACAATTTTAAGGGCAAAGCCTATTTTGATCTGTGTACAATATGCAAGTAGGTTGTAGATATTCTGATAACATTTTCAAAGTCTTTTTCTATCTTTTGATATAGTAACACATGTCAGCACACTATTTGTCATAAAAATATTAACTCCTTACCAAATCTAAATCCTTGTGCCAAACACAAAAACCTACTTAGTAGGAACAGAAAATAGTATAATGAGCAATCAAGTCTTAAACCACTGCATAAAACTTTAAAGGATTAAAATTTATTGCTGTATACAGAAAAAGGAAAAATACAAAAATTTGCATATTAGATGCTTGCACAAAAATTTCCTTTTGTGTGCCTTATAAGTAATTAAAGTAAGAAAATATTTACAAATATATTGCAAAAAAATTAGTACCATTGAAAATGGAAAAAAGGATTACAATTTAGAAAAAGACATGTTTTGAAAATGACAAAAAGAGAAATCACATGCAAGAAGGCAGTAAAACAAAGTTGCAATCACTTTTTAGAAAAAACAAAAAAAATTTCTTGACCTATAAGTAACTCTGGGACATATAGCAATTTTGAAAATGTCTTTTTTTATATTCACACTGTACTTCAGAAAATTTCCTTGAATTCTTTTTTCCATTGTTCAATCGCAGGAGAATTTTCACTTGAACTTCAAAATTCTTTTGGGATCTCTGCAGGTAGCTGGTAACTCTGTGCCTGCTTGTTGCACTCTTCTTGATGTCAGATGCTTTCTCCTCCTTTATATCAAAAACCTTCTTATCCCGGAAATTCAGACAAAAGGTGATCAGGTGATAACAACAACAAAGATGAGGATATTAGTCCAAATGTAAATAATCAAAATAATGATAACTCTTTATCCCAGAAATTCAGACAGAAATGAAATCTTCCAAGTTATCATACTTATTATAAAACCCAGGTTGTGTGTCTGTGTGTGTGTCTGTTCGTTTATATATTGGATCGGATTTCCTACATTTTTCAACCGATTTCAACAAAACTTCACAGGACTACGTAAAATTATCTTGCAGTGGTTCTGACAGCACCAAAAATTGGAAAAACACAATTGTTTTTGCACAAAATCAATTTGAAAACATGATTAAGAGGCATCACTCTCGTGAGAATGAAAGGTGGACAACTCATATCGAGTTATACTTATTATAAAACCCAGGTTGTTTGTTTGTGTGTGTGTTCTTTATATATGGGATCGGATTTCTTACATTTTTCAACCGATTTCAACAAAACTTCACTTTTTTTTTTGGCAGGTAGTGTTTCTTATTGTCTTGCACACTTTTTTCTTTATTTTTACATTCAGAATGCTTTAAAAATTCCATTTACAAGGCAATTGTTTATAATAAAATTCTATTCAATCAGTAGACTCATAACAATTGAAAACAATGTTTTTGTTTGAGTTTGGGTTTGACCAATTCGTAAAAAAAAACAAAAAACAAAAAAAAAACTAATTGAGACATGCGTGTCTGTCAACCTTAAACAATAATCTTTGTCAATTTTATTTTTCAGTCTTTATGATGGTCGATACTTGATCTCTTACTGTTACATCCCCGGGCAACGCCGGGCTCTAGTGCTAGTTTGTTATATAACATTAAAAATGAAAGACAATTCCTGCTAACTTCATGATATAGATGAACATTTTCACTGATGAGAGAATTTATGTCCAGCCTCCAGTTGCCCATCTCCAATATACACACCTTTTTATTTTTGCTATTTGCTTTGCCTAGGCAATAAAATGATAATGGTAATTGTGATATTCAATATTCATTGACTAAACAGCAATACTGCCAGTTAAAATTTATAAAATCTTTCTCCTAAAACAGTTTTTTCAGGTAGTCTTCTCAAGGTCACTACCTGTTATTGCTCTTTCTATCAACTGATACCAGTTTCCTCCCTAACCATTGGTTTAAAGTAGTGTGGAATGTTGCCACCTTGATTGTAACATTATTTTCCCTTCTAGTTTGATGGGTTATACATTTTAGTTGTTGCAGCTATTGGAAGTTTCTTAGTGATGTGATTTTTGCTATTTGATAAATTCTTTTCACTCTCTCTCTCCTAATCCCTGTTCTGCCAACCATTCACACAAGGTTGTTAGGTAGACTATTTGCTGCTTTTCTCTGCCCATCTTGCCTTTAATATGACCTGTGAGTTAAATTTTCCAAGCTCTCTTTCCTCAGTATGTATTAAATATAATTTATTTAATTTCAATTATCTCTTCTAAGTATAAGCATCTTTTTTGTCTCCATTTTCTCTAAAATTTTGTCATTCTGCTAATGTTATCAATCAATCAATCAAGATTATTGATTGATTGATTCATTTTTTTATAGTTTATCAACCCTTTGCAGGTTATTTAAAGCCATAAAATATTTTTAGATTGCAGGAATTTTATTGTTGGAGATAATAATGGTTTAGTGATACAAATTTTACTAATTAACCCATAGCTGAGGAGAAGTAGTAGATTCATACCTGAACCTGGTATTTGCCTGTAAGTGAATGAACCCAACTGGAATAGAAACTCAGTTCTCCAATTAACAATTTCAAGCCATTGGTTGGCAACTTCTGGCTACATTCCAATAAAACTGTATGATATACTGACTGCTCTCTAAACTAGGTTGTTAACTACAAAAACTTGCATTTGTCAAGCACATCCAAGCTTCAAGCACCTGGTATTCCTAAGTATCTTGGTACTAACTAGGCTTAACTTCAGTAATTGTATAGGAAGCGGTATTTCAGTGTGATATGGCCGTAAGCCAAAATTCTTTGTGATTCTGTCACAGCAGTCTATAAGATCTGATCAAGGGTTTTCTTCTTTAAGACTTAAAGAAATAATTCTCTTAAAGCCATTTTTGGTTATTGATCATTGAAAAAAAACACACACACACACACACACACACACATATATATATATATATATAGTTGATAGTTTAGACATTTCTGAATGAGTTGGACACCATGCATGACATCTATATGAGAGTCTAGATCTGACAAGACTATTTAAGAACATGACTCAAGTTCATGACTCGAGGTTAATATTTTGATTTTCTAACATCTTGCAGTGGTGGACTAAACTACCTCTAGTGAAGCCTATATTAAATTTCCATATCTCCTATGCTAATTTTTTAAAACTGACCTCTCCAAAGAGGTACTTGAAGTGTTCAGAATTTATTAATTCTAGATTCAAATTTTTATGATAGATTCAGGTTGTGTGCCATCACTACTTTCATTCCAATTCCAAATCATAATTTCTGTTTTGGAAAGGTTTACTGTAACTCCTACATTTTGCAACTCTTGGTAAATATAGATTGTTGTTAAATGTACATAATATATACATTTGGTTTAATCTTTGGTGACTATACTACTTTAATAATTAAATGTGTAAGTTTTCTTACAGGAACATTTTATACAACATGAAATAATAGTGGTGAAAAGGAGTACATTCACAAAACAACTGATCAATTGATTTGCAATGCAAGATAAAATTTATTAGACAAATTAATGAAAGGAAAGTTTAAAATAAGTTTCTTTTGTTAGATGTAAATTGTATACACAATGAAATGTTTATCAATATGTTTGAGTGAAACTTACTTTATTGTTGTGTTTTAGGTGAAGCATTCACAGCCCTTTTAGCTTCAATGTTCAAAGTTCATGAGACCAGTTCAAAAGAGGAAAAAACCCAGAAGAGAGAATTACTTTAGGGTTCATATGTTTTTATATTCAAGAACTGCTGCTGATAATTTTTATTTTAGAGCTGCTACTTCTTTTATATTTAAGGTCACTACAACTCTATCAGTAATAATCCTAACAAAATAGTCTGCTAGTTTAGAAATAAGCTTCTAAGATGACTTGAATCTTTTTCTATGTGTTATGTTCCTTCAGAACGTGGGCAATCATAGTTCTCCATAACTAACAGTCCCATGTACCTCTGAGTAAATTTTGGGTTTTATCTGTCTCTCCTAATCCTTGTTCTGTCAACCATTTACACAATCTTGTTAGGTGGATTATTTGTATCATTCCTCTGACCTTTAATATGACCAGTGAGTGTTAAATATTCCAAGCCTTCTTTCCTCATTATGTGTCCTAGGAATTTAAATTATCTCTTTCTGAGTCTAAGTGTTCTTTTTGTTTCCATTTTCTCTAAAACTTTGTCATTGCTCACATGTTTAGTCCACAGTATTCTCGGCATCCTTTTGTAGTATCATATTCTGTTGCCTCAAGTCTCTTCTTCATCTATGAGGAGATTGTCCAGCATTCACTACCATATAGGAGAACTGATAATACATAACAGTTTAGTACTCTTTTCTTTATGCATAAAGTGAGATTGTTTTTTGGTTTAAAAACAACATAGCTTGGTTGTTAAGCAACTGACATGCAAGTTGGCTTAGAGGTGATAGATATGAAATAGATACTCATGGTTGACAACTTCTGGGTATATTCCAATAAAACTGTATGATATACTGACTGCTGTTTAAGCTAGGTTGTTAACTACAAAAACTTGCATTTGTCAAGTTTGTTTTTTGATAACATTAGCAGAATTGTTAATAGATTTTTGAAAGATTTCATCATTACTGAGTGAACGTTGAGAACTGACTATTTACTGATATACAACCCCTTCTCATCCTACACCCACTTCATCCACCTTTTGTTGAAATTGACTAAACAGAAAACTAAATTTATCTTCTTGGCCTCAATCTATGATAATGCTATTGACCTGAGCTGTAGCAGTTGTCTAAAATCATTATTGCCATTAATTTTCAAAATATATCAGAAAAATTCATTTTTGGGTTTTTTGTTTTTTTTTACTTTTAAAACTTATATGCAAAAATTTCTATAGGTCCAGAAAATAAGTACGAGTAAAAAGCAAAATGAAATTGTGTACTTAAAATCAAGACATTAAAAATATTTACAGAAGGATAATAGATGCAAAAGTGTTCATTCTATGAAATGATCAGATAAAAAATATAGAATTAAGAATCTTTAAAAGTATGATTTATCAGGCCCAGCTACATTTAACATCTGATTTATCCTCCCCCACAACACACACACTTTTAACATCTTCTTACACTCTTAACAGTTTATGTGTGGTCTAAATTATACAAATTATATCATCTTAGCTTATTAAACTTTCAAAATGGTTGCTAGATGCTACAGGGATATCTTTCAATTTTGTAGCTGTCTTTTGTTCTTGCGGGGTACAAAAAGAATTCTCCAAAGTACAGTTAATCTGAATCCCACACAGACAAACTAGAATTATTATACACTTACATACATAAAGCATTATTTATGGTTTTTCAGTTAGGCTTGGAATCTGTTAATTTCTTGAAACTTTGAACAAGTGTGTTATCTCTCCTTGAATTCAGAATGCCACATTTGTTTAACAAGTCAAATGCACATGAAACACAATTAACCAATGAAAATCAAACACAATACAAAAGTAAAAACATCAGAATTTCTCTCTTCTTTTTCTCCAAATCTCAATCTGTGATGAATTAAGTCCAACAATAATTTAATATATTTTCTGTTTATACATTATTTTAATACATACAATTTATTTAAGTAAATGCTCCATTTTTTAAATAAACAGTATTGATTACATTTATATATATATATATTTATATATATATAAATGTTCATTATCAGAGAAATAGCATTTGTAGGCATAGACTGTGGCAGCATAGAAATCTTTCTATATATCTTATGCATTATATATTTTTTTATTTTTTTTAAATCAGTTCACCCCCAAGTAAGGTGATAATGCCACTAAAATGCAAGGTGCTACTGGGTGTGAAAGAGAATGAAAAAACTTAAGAAGGAACCAGAAACCAAATGCTAAACAGGAAACAAAGGATTAACCTCTATTCCTGTGCAATAAACTAGGGATGAGTGTGAATCTGATGATATATATAGAGTAAAAATCCTTGTTTTTATCTAAACAATGGAATTAATATCTACCGACCTGGAGAATGAAAGTCTTTTTAAAGAAAATGTGCCTCCCATCAGGAATCAAAACTGTATACCCATTTTCCATTTGGGAAATTTCACTGTTTAAAATTTCCTTGTAATAAAAAAAAAAGATTTTTTAATTAAAAATAAGCAGCGATGTCTACTCAGTCACATGTACACACAGAGTACAATGTTCATAGTAATAAGAAATAATGTCAGATTAAATGACTGACAAAGTGTGGTGGTCGAGTTTTTATATAATTTCTCATGTGTTTGTATAATTTTCTTTTTTCAGGACAGTATAAAAATTTTCCAAAGGTTTTCCAAGTGCTTTAGGCTATACTTTTAGTCATTATCAAGGATGAATTTTATTTTACTTTTAACTAAATATATGCATTGATTCATGTATGTATTTAGAGATATAGGAATAATTTATTTTCTAAACATGGTCAGTACATTGTGGCTGTGTACATAGTCGATATTATTGAGTGTTGGCTTTTTCTTTTTATTAATAATGGTTCAATTATTTCTTTGCCTTTTTGTACATGTGGATGATGCTATTATATAAAAGCATTGTTGCAAACCCTTGAAAAACATTTGGATAATTTTGATATAATTTATGCTCTGAAAAGAAAAAAATTATACAAACACATGAGAAATTATATACAAAGCCCAACCACTACACCTTGTCAGTCATTTTCATCAAAACTTGCATTAAAGAGGGGATTGCTTCCAAATACACAATATATATATATATATATATATATATATATATATATATATATATATATATATATATATATATATGTGTGTGTGTGTGCATTTCTAAGGAATTAATATATTTATTTTAAATCAAACAATTTTTGTAACTTCAAAAATGAATATAGTAGATAATATGTATTTGAAATTGATGTCCCATTAATATTTATTAAACAGTGTGTAATACTATCACTTTGCATATTCAAGAAAAATTAGTAAAGAAAACGAATTCCCCAGCATATATATATATATATATATATATATAGTCATCCACAGAATGACTGTTTGTCTGTATCACAGCTCATCAGTGTGGTTAGAGATCTGATTGTTTCAAACCAGGATCGAAACCAAACTAATTTTGCAAGTCAGAGATTTTCCCCCTAAGCCATTAGTGCACAGTTAAAAGAAAGGTGAATTTGTACATACTTACCCTGTGAATAAACATGCCAATGACTGATAATGCTCAATTAAGGGTAGGAGAAGATCCTTGTAATATTAGTAGTAATAGTCATTGTTTATAAAATTATATATATATATATATATATATATATATATATATATATATATATATATATATATATATATATATATATATATATATATATATATATATATATATATATATATATATATATATATATATATATATATATATATATATATATATATATATATATATATATATATATATATATAATTATTTATTTAAAATATGATTCCAACACTACATATTTATTTAAATAATTATATTTATGCTCTACTTTTGTATCGAGCACTATTTTTTAAAAATAATAACAAAAATACTAAAGAACTTTGGATTATTTACCTAACGAGTTCTTTCTTATTTTCTATATATTTTTACATATATATATATAGTGATGTTTGATGGCCAGCTGTGAATACAAGTTTCATACATATGAAAGTGTGCCATCATCAGGATTACCACTTGATAATTGCATGTTTTTTCAGGAATGAAACTTAGTTGTGGGTGATTATGAAGCAAAATCCCATTGGAATTATATTCCAACTCTAATCTAATGGCATCAAGCACTTTTTCTTTTATGTCTTCATGTCAATCGCCGGCAAGTGAGGTTATTTATTGATAAAAATTTCTCTCACTCTCTCCCTATCTCTTCCTCTCCCTCTCTCTCTATATATATATATATGTGTGTGTGTGTATGTGAATAAAAAATTTTGTCCAAAAAGAAAATTACTAGAAGCTGCATCAATCTAATAATATACTACTTTTTTAGAAATTGTTTGTGTGTTTTTATCTACAAATCCAACAATTTCCATTTATAATTTTTCCATCTGTTTTACTTTTCTTTTCCTATGAAAAAGGAAAAAAATTCACCAAATGATGAAATAAAAGAAATCTAGTGTTGCATCTTTGATCATTCGCAGTAAAAGTGGCCCACAATTTGTCCATTTTCCTTCCAGTAATGAAATAAGTCTGCCTCTTATTTATAGTACAAAGGCATAATCTAGCTCATCTTGGTAGTAATGCTTACCCTTCTCATATGAGAGCACCCATCTCCCAATCTCTCTCAAATCTTTACATTTCTGCATTGACCTAAAGGTCAGTAGATCATGTTATGTAGACAGTCAAGTCAGCTGGGTCACACTGGCTTGACCAGTTGCCTGTTGTTATTGTTGCTATGGCCATAAGCCATGAAATTTGACCACATCTTCATGGCAAGCCTGATCACTGTGTGTTCCATGTATTTCTTGGCACTGTCTACAAAGTGCTGGTTTTTAATGAAAATTGGAGAGTTTTTCTCTTTCTTCTTTCTATTAAATTAATCCAGTTTTAAAATAATATTTATACTAATTTTTTAATATCGTTTGAAATGTTAAGTTGAGGAATAAGTGGTCAAATTTATAATAGTCTTTTGTTCTTTTGTCTAAAGAATTCTTTTTCAAAACTTATCATAATATGAATATGTAATGCTGATAGAAACTATTGTCATAATATCTCGGAGCTTTATTAATTAAAATTATATAAATATTTACTATGCTTACCACAAGGCCATAATAAAGGAGTACTTAGGAAGGATTCAACTCCTAACCTATGTAGACTCCTTTTGGGGTCCAGAACCATAGCCACACTATGTGTTGTTGATTGAACTTCAGTTTCAGAAATTGTCTTAATTTCTGGGGTGAGGTCTTATCATTATTTACACTATTTATATTCAAATTGAACTATTGTCCTCATCTTGATTGTTGTTATCACAATGTTTCAGCCATTGTGCTCTCCAGCCTTTGTAAGATGTATACTGATCTGGGTAACCTACAGGGAATACTGAATTAATTTACAGGAGTAGACTGTTCTCATTTAACTGATATCCTTAGACATGAGCAGTGGAATGAGAACAGTTTATCCCCATAGATTAAATAAAGGGGTTCAGTTCATAATTCTAAGATAGACTCCTCTATGTATGTATGTATATATATCTTTCTCTCTCTCTCTCTCTCTCTCTCTATATATATATATATATATATATATATATATATATATATATATATATATATTTATATATTTTTTTTAAAATATGGTTCCATCACAACACACACAAATTTCAAAACTAAAACTAAATTTATAAATTTAATTATAAAAATTAAACTTAAAATCCATAGTTTCATTCCATTGTCAAGCGATGTTAGGAATAACTTTCTAAGAAATTTACTTAATTTATAAGCACAGACAATATTAATATTATGAATTGTTAAGGTTAAGGAAAATTCAATCTATTTTGATTAGGGATGGTTATGTTTTAATTTTCCTAGACAGCTTATGTATCAAATATATGTTACTTACAAAGTCAGGTTAAGTTTAGGTGGGTGGAGGTGACTGCTAACAAACATAGATATCATATATATATATATATATATATATATATGAGAGAGAGAGAGAGAGAGAAACTTACACTCTACCCAAGTGGAACTCATGTATCTGATCTATTGTGAAGCTGCTGCAAAAATGTTTGGTTCATTAAACCACTCCAGTCAGTATCTGGTTCCCCTTGCAATACTCTATCTTTACAAGAGCCAGATCAGATCAAAAATGGAGTATTGCTGCCATATCTGAGATGGAGTTGCCCAATCCTCATTTGCCTGTCTTGATAGAGTTCAAAAGTTCACATTATTTTGCACCCTACAACCCTTTTTCCACAGATTGAATGTTGCAAGTCCCTTGCTGCTCTATCCCTATTTTCATGACATGTGTTCTGACAAGTTACATTCTTTAGTTCTGTAACCTCTGACCTTTATAACTGTGACCTGCCATGCCACATACACAAGGATAAATCATCTCCATTCCCTTCATATTCCATTAGTAAGAAATAAGTTCCACTCAGACAGCTTCCTCCTAAGAACTGCTGCTGTGTGGAACAGACTCCTGGCAGGATATTTTCTGAATCACTACAATCTTGACCTTTTCAAGTCTAGTGTTAACCATTATCTTTCCTGCATAACCTCATGAACTTCACTTTTTATGTTTTCTTATACTCATACAACAATGCACAGTAACTCTCTACTTTGAGGGACTCTTGGACCGTGTATTAGGTGAACATTATATAAAAATATATACATATATATACATACAAGTATGCAAAATTTATAATATAGCTCTGTATATATATAAATGTAACCCATGGATATAATATTATTTATATGTATAGAGGTGCATTTGTGTATATATATATATATATATATATATACAAGAGATTATAGTTGCTCCAACAGGAGAAAGGTGTATATTTTAAAGAGAAGCTGGAAAACCCTGGAACACTTTGGATTTTCCTTACTAGGTGATGTTTTTGGCCAGGTTGTTTTTCTTTCCAGAGTGTTCTGGGATTTTTCCTCTTCTTTGCATTTTGGCTTCCATAGTTCTGATAAGAATTGGTGAGTTTCTTTAAAAATATTTGTGGCTTCAATTTCTCTTTAAAATAAATAAATATATATATATATATATATATATATATATATATATATATATATATATATATATATATATATATATCAAATACAGCAATACCAATAATTATAATGTAGCTGTATATTTAAACCAACCAGACTATAGTACTGATAATGTTAGATGCATCTTTTTATTATCTGCATTTAAATGCAAACAAGAACACCGAAAATATACTTATTTAAAATTAATTCACACATTCTATGTTTAAATAGGAATTTAAGCATACTCAATGAATACAGTTTCCACAAAAAAGGCATCTACAAGTGCTCTACAGCCCTAATCATGGCATACAACTAACCGAAAGCTACTAGATTTCACCAGGAATATAATGCATGTGAAAAAAATCCCCCACCCCACCCCAAAGTCCAACTACATTTTCTAAATTTTTATTTCTTATTGAGAAAGGATATAGGCATGTCTGAAAATTCTGATTTTTAACATCTTTTCTCATTAGACTTCTATTTGGTTAAACATTTATAATAAATGGTATTTGTCTTATTAGGAATGTTATTATTGTTGTTTTTTATCTCTCAAATTTCTTTTCATCGACCTACTATATATATATATATATATATATATATATATATATATATATGTGTGTGTATATATATATATATATATATATATATATATATATATATATGTGTGTGTGTGTGTGTATTTGTGTATAAGATGAAGTAAGACTTCTGACTGAGGATATTTTGAACATCAGATACATGTAGTTACTGCAAAATATTTACAGAAATTGCAAATGTCATTTTTGTGATTGAAAGAGAAGATTGTCAAGAAAAGGAAAAGAAATATTACTGACAAAGAAAAGGCCCGCAAAAAGAAAGAAGAAATCAAAAGTGATGGTGATGGGGGTTATTTATTGATGCAGAGTGAACTGCAGTTCAAAGAGCACAGGGTAATTTGTAAGAAAGGGCAAAAATTCTACAAATGTAATTTGGAAGTTGACCAATGTAAAGTTCTACTTGCCACACTTATCGTTGGATATCTAAAATGTCCATCTATAAATAATTACACTATATATGAGCAAGCATATTTACATACTGATGTCTGTATATTTGTTGTTCATGTATAACTTACAATGGTTCCTTTACATTCAAGAATATAATATATATATATATATATATATATATATATATATATATATATATATATATATATATATACTGAGTGTAACACCAAGATTGTCCAAATCATGTAACAGCATAATTATCCATCCCACAAAATGTTTAATATCTAAAAAACCATTAAACTAATTGAGTTTCTTTGTTCCAGGTTTTCAAATTCTTTAAGAATCACTGAAAAACATTGATTTATTCAGCTAAAAGGAGAACAGGTTAAAATCGTTTTGTGTTAGATCCAAAATGTCTTCCCAAATGAGCAATGGTGAGAGGCAAAAATCATTCAGGCCATCAGTATTTGTACCAACAGTCTCTGCCTTCCAGCTTCAAAGTCCATTTAAGAATCATTGAGAGAATGGTGAATATTTAAAAAAAGGGGGAACAGTAGAGAGGAATACTGGATCAGGAGGTCACAACAAGAAGAGGGATCATCATTTCAACTTAGAGCTGAAGAGATAGAAAAGATCCAACTCCATGCATAAATGTTTGGCATGTGAGAGAGGAGTTTCAGCTATGACAGTCCAAAAAGCAGTGAAAAACGACTTGTAAATGAAATTGTATGTGAAACCTGTGAGTCCCCTTGTTACTCCAGGACAGAAAGTTAGATGTTAGAGCTGGTGAAAATTATCTTGAATAAGTTGAAAAATTATCCTGGAATAATATATATATATATATTTGAGCTTTATTTTAATACTTCATGAGCTTCCGATCTTTAGCTATGATTAATTAATGATGAACATGTCATTTTCATTTATGATCAATTTCATCACGATACTTCTGTTAGTGAGTAATTATACATTCTTATTGCTCAGAATAGAGTGCAATAGGGTGTTATAAAAACCTCAGAGAATTCCAGTAAGATATCCTTAATCATTTCTAAGATACAATGGTTCAGACTTTAATCTAACAATAAGACAATTTTGCTGTTACACCCGGTATATATATATATACACACACACACACACACACAGGTGCGATGGATAAATTGTCACATAAATTATGCAAAAATGAAAATGACACCAGCATCTCATTTTAACAGATATGTTTACCAAAATTACACTAAAATATCTTGAAATACTAAAGAGTAAATTTAATTCAATAAAATTACCATTAGCTTCAACCACGGCTTCCAGATAACTTCAGAATCTTTTGCAATTCTTCTGGACAGTCTCCTTGATTAAGTTGGTGAATGCTTCCATAATCCTTGCCTTCAGTTCTTCGTTGGTGTTACAATGAGTTTTTTTAGTCTCTCACTTAACTGCACTGCACACATAATAATGAAAGGGGTTGCAGTCTGGAGAGTTAGGAGGTCGGATGTCAGAGGTGATGTGGCCACAGAAATTGTCTGACAGCCATGACTGGATTCTGCTTGTGTGGCATGGTACAGCGACCTTCTAGCTGCCACTCTCTTGTCCCAGGGAAGCACTACCTCCACAAGGCCCTTGATGTAGGCCTCCATGTTG